TCCATCAAAAACATGATAAAGTTTAGGCAAAAACAAAATTGGCATGCATTCTAGGTTAAGATTAGGTATTAGCAACACATAGAGAAAGTTAAGAAAAGTGAATGCTCTAATATACGACAAAGTCCAAATCGATTGGGCCTTTGCTTTGATATGTTAATACTGTCAAAATCTATTTGAGCATTCACAAATAAACAAATCAATGAGTCTGATATTTATTATTCTCAACTTTCTCTTCATTCTGCATTGCATTCATTTAGAACATATCCTTCTTGAAAAAAAATAATAAATGAGAATAAAAAGAGAAATCAACCTATGTGCGCTAGTCGGAAGTAATGGAAAGTGAGCCATGTATAAAGAGTTTAGGACAAAGAAATCCACAATCATCAAGATGCTAACTCTTGCCCTAAAAGGATAAAGCCATGTCGTACAATCGCGAAATCCAAGCGGAATAGAACTTGAGGAGGACGAATCCCTCAAACACTGAGTCAAAATGAATTTCTTGAAAGATGATTTTAACAACAGAGAAGCATTGCTTGTTAAGAAGCTGCTATAATGAAAACTCGCAAAGGGCATTCTAGGCAAAAATAAAATAAAATCGAGAAGCAATGTTTGTTCGAGCTGAAAATCGAGAGACCGCTTGAATGTTCCTCTTGAGAAGCAAGACTCCATGGAAAGCTCTATCATCGCTTCTACCCATTCCTACTTCTTAGGAAAGGCTCAGGATATGGGTTGAAAATACCTTTACGAAAGAAGAAGCCAAAGGACCTCCCTCTACACGAGATCTTCTGAAGTGCCCTCCCTCTATACGAGATCTTCTGAAGCGCCACATCCATACAAGTGGAGGACTAGCTCTACGGTTAGATGACTTAGGCCTCTCTAAGGGGAACCTCCTTCTTTTTCTTTGTGTACGAATCACGAACTTAGGGCATGCCCGGGCCCTCAAACTACATTAAATGGGCACAAAAATTGCAAAAATTTAAACTATACTAGAACAAATTTTGTGGCGGCTTTAGTGACCAATTAGTGACGGATTTGTTGTCCAAGTTTTTTTTTCCACTTATGTAAATGCTCCAATCCACCACTAATCCTTGCTCCTTGATACTCCTGGAACCTGCAAAAATAACACAAACAAAAGATGAATGTAGGCTGCTCACAAGGTAGATGGAAAGATCACTCTTGTGAAGGTAGGTTTAGGAATTTTCGGTCACTAAATTAGGTCAAGATTTCAAGTCCTTTTTGTGTCAACTCCTTTCCTACTATTGTTGAGTCAATGTTTGGTCCTTAAGCAAGGATTTAAGGCCACTTCCAGCACGGAATTTTTTAGTCAAAGAAAACTAGACAAGCAACAAATGCACAATTTAGAAAACTTATACCAAAAGTTGAAGAATAAGGTGCTTAAGACAAGACTCAAAGATAGCCAAAAATTAAAGCTAAAAATTAAGACTCCAAAGAAGGCTAGCACACAATTAGGAACATTCCTAGATAGGCACTAGAGTATATTAACAAAACCAAAAATTTTTGGAAGAAATCAAACAAGTAAAAGCAAACTAGTAGACCAATTACTTTATGAAATAAGGTGTATTTTCTTTCAATTGCTCTTCTCGGCTTTTCCATGCTATATTTTCTTTATTTTTTTTTTAATTCTTTTGCTTTTCTGAATTCAAATTTATTTTCAGGAGAAGATACTTGCCTTTTGATTTCAAAAATTTCACAATTCCAAAGTATAGAAACCGAATCTACTAGAATGATCAATTTCAAGTGAAAAATGAAGAACTAGTGCACTATAATTTGAACTTTTGTTGGATTATTTTGTTCTTTTTTTTTAAACTATTTTAATTTTTTATGCCCTGTATTTTCTCTATTTTTCAACAAGCAAACTTTTAAAAAAATTGAATCCAAAACAATTAGTGCACTAGAAGTAGAATAGTTCACTTAAAATTTCAAGATACAAAGGATTGATTCAAGATTGATATGGAAAGTAAATTTGAAAACTCAAGTACACAATGAAAACCTAACTCTTAAGAGTTCACCAATGATCTAGTGATGAACATGAACTCAAATATGCAAATGGAAAAGCAAACACATCACACTATCATCAACCATGGAAGGAGGGATGCCATCAATTAGGAAGGCTAAACTCAAGGGGAATTGAGGTGACAAACTCAAAGAATTAGAAAGAAGACACAAAAACCGAAATTAAGGCAAGTTAAGAAAGGCAATAACTCAAAAGATTAGTTCCTAGAATGACACTAGAATTGAATAAAAAGTGTTTGTAAAAGAAATTTTGCACTTAATATGTTAACTTAAAAGTCTCATTTGGCCATTAGGTCATTGTCCAAATATCCAAGAATAACTCCAATTGTCAAGGTAGGGAAAATATTGTCCAAGTGTCCACAAGTCTAACAAAGGTTCCCTTTTTGTTTGTTTTGTCCCCTTTTCTTTTTTATACTTATATATGGCTCGGTTTTCAATGTCAATGTCCAACCACTTTCTCTCGTTTTTTTTTTTTAAATTATGCTCCTCCTCTGCTTGGGTTTTACACTTATGTTTGTTGGTTTTGATTAGCAAAATATGGAGTATCCTTTTAAGTAGTTTTCAATGGCTTAATGAGTCAATAATTTGAGTGTTTCATAGAGTTTTAATGTGCAAATGGTCCAGCAGAAAAATATGCACATAGAAACCAATCTCATACTCAAATCATCAAACAATATTAAGTATATCAAGTGCACAAGGAACTACTCAAATGGTCAAAAAAAATTTTAACAATGATGTGCAAAGAAATTAATCACACATGAACATTTAAGTGAACATGCTAGGACGACTAATTAGTATGCATGATTGACTCTCTAAAGCACTCTAGACTCACACAACCATTTCATCAAACACATAGCATGCATTGCATATTTATGATCAAAACATGTTTAAGCTAGAATACTTGGAATACTTTTCAAGACAAATTGGAAATACATGACTTCAAAACAAAACCGAATTGATTATAAAATAAAAACACATGTTTAAGAGGATTTTCAATGCAGCCAATTTTTTTTCAGCAACTCAAAGCCTAAAACTATGTAAAGAAATGTAGTATTTACAAAGAATAACACTCAACAAAAGGATGTGTAAGATGATCTCACTTGGTTACAATTTGTTAAGGCATGGATAATCTAAGTTTAGAACATTATTCGTTATGTCTGAATAGGCTATATATCTTTATGAAGCCTATATGACATCTATAATTCAAGTAGGTTATCAGAACGTTTATTAACAAAGTTTTAGGATTTTGTTCCTTCTAAGAGTTTTAGTGTTGAACGCATGCTATATTAACTATTAAGGACGCAAAGGGTATATATAAACTAGGGATGGCAATAGGGCCCCATGGGGGCGGGTAATAGTAAACCTGCCCCGCCCCACTATATGAAAATTGGTCCCATACCCGTCCCATATCCACGCGGGTATCCATTAAGCGGGGATCCATGAATTTCTTGAATACCCACGGATATTCATGGATATTTATAAATTTTTAAGAAATTAAAAAAATCATATTATAAATAATTTTAAATTTATATTTAATGTCATTGAAATATTAAAAATAAAAATTTAATGTTAATTTTGAATTTGTATTTAACGTTAATTCTGTTGAAATAATAATAAAGATAGAAGATAATCAATCACTTAAAATACATCAATCTTACACAAGTATGTGAAAGTCTCATATCACAAAGTTACAATAATTCAATCTCATAATTTCAAACGTAAGGAAACAACTTAAAATACATAAATCTTATTGGTCCAATCAAAGCTATAAAATTAATCAAATTACATCTAACATAATTCTATGGAAAGAAAATAAGATGAGAGTGTAGCTTTAGGGTTATGTGAAACAAGGATAATTAGGATATTTAATAAATATTATTAAAAGGGTACCCGCGAGTATGGATATCATCATACTTGCCCCCGCCCCATTTATAAACGGGTAAAATATTATCCGTCCTCATTATCTACGGGTACCCAATTAGCCTATCCATTTATTATCCGTAACGGATTTTACCCACAAATACCCACGGGTACGGGTATTTTTGCCATCCATAATATAAACGCATTAACTAATTCATTTTTTGCCTTTAACTAATAACAACATATATAAAAAGGTGAAGAAATAAAGTCTTTTATGTTCTTCTCTTCGTCGCATATTTCCCACACCATACTTATCAAATATATCAGTTCATTCAACTCATTGTTTTGTTATCTTTAAAACTTGGAGAGTTAGACGTTAAAGAACATCTTTGGATAGACATATACATTACAAAAAGTATACAATTTATATTATTAATAATAAGATAATTGCAAAATATTATTATATATATATATATATATATATATATATATTGTAAAACAAAAATAAGTAAATATAAATTTTAAATTTTATATTATAATATTCATAACCTTGTGATTGTATCATGTTTGACCACAACTAAAGTGTTAATTAAATATTAGAATAATAATTCAAATTTTCAGGCATGTATAAAAATATTATAATAATTTAAACGTATTTTTATTACTTAGTAATGTTAAAAATATCATGTTTGTGTGGTTATTTGTTTGAATGATAAAAATAATTTATGTAAATTATCTTTATTTTCATTGATCATAAATATCTCATATATAAATATATAAAAAAATAAAATAATTATTATTAAGTTAAAGTAATAATTAACACAATTATTATAAAAAATAATAATTTTAATATGCTATGCATCTTCAATATTAACATAAAAATAAATTTTAAAGATAATTTTTTTAAAAAAAATATTACAAAAATAATATATAGCCGGTGCATCGCTTTATGTATTTTTCATTACAAATATAGGAACAAACTATTTCGACCCCAATTCACGCATGATATGCACAAACAGTTTTTGGGTACACTACCAAAAAAAAAAAAACAATATAGGTAATGAATGTCACATAAATAGTGAAACCAAGTATAATACAATGAACATTCTCCAAACCAGTGAAATAGTGGTGCTATATATAAATTCACATGGATAATCTTTCATCAATAACTCTAAAGAATTAAAGAGAAAGAAAAAAAAAAAAAGAGAGAGTTAATTTGTAACCTGAAGGGGTCCATCGATCCCATTTTGTCTCGTTTGTTTGAGGAACAAGAAGAAGCGATGATGGGTTGAAGGCGTCCATCGAAACGACAAGGGCAGTGTGCGTCTCGCGTAGCGAAAAGTGATTGAATTCCGCGGGATGTCGAACTTGTACGGCGATTACAACCAAAAGATCGATTACGTCTACAAAGTGGTGTTGATCGGTGACTCCGCCGTGGGCAAGACCCAGCTCCTCGCGCGCTTCGCCAAGAACCAATTCAGCGCCGATTCCAAAGCCACCATCGGCGTTGAGTTTCAAACCAAAACGCTCATCATCGATAACAAGATCGTTAAGGCACAAATATGGGACACCGCAGGCCAAGAAAGGTCTATTAATTCAATTCCATTCATTGCCTTGATAAATGCAAATTATTCTCACCCTTTTTTTCATTATATGTTATTCAAATTTTGATTCCATATTGCATCTTCGTTTTCAATTTTTTTGTATTGTTTATTATTTATTTACTTTTATCTTTGTGTGTTTAAGATAAAGACAAAATTTAAACGCACTTCCTTAGGTATAATTAGTGTGTATTTGATTTTTCATTAGAAACACACAAAATCACGGTCAACAGAAAATATTACTTCTTGTTTTGATGTTGTTGAATGTGTGTTATTTTCATTCAATGAAACTTAATGATAAAACAAACATGTTCTTAGTTCCTTAGGTATAATTAGTGTGTGTTTGATTTTTCATTAGAAATACACAAAATCACGTTCAATAGAAAATATTACTTCTTGGTTTGATGTTTTTGAATGTGTGTTATTTTTGTTCAATGAAACTCAATGATAAAACAAACATGTTCTTAGTGTTGTTCTACTTTTCATTGATCAAAATTGGAATTTTATCTCGATAATATATATTTATGATTGATGAATATATGTTATTAAAGTTTGTATTAAATATAAATGTGTATTACTGAGATAAAACTTTAATTTTAATTTTGTTGTTGCGATGATTTGAAGCTTTACTAGAGATTATAAGGGTATGATAAAATATATGAAAACAAACGGAAACTGGAAAGTGTTGGAACTAATGCAGTCAGTTTGATGCTGGAGTCGAATGGACGTGGTTATGTTTGTGACTGTTGGGACAATGCAATGTGGGGATTAAAGTGGAAAAGGAAAGTTTGTTTCGTAATCGGTTAAGAATTTAATGCTATGTTTAGATACCAGTTAGGAAAGTGCTTTTGTTAATTTCAACGTGTAATTCTGAATTTTAATGTACAAAATGAAGTAAATTTGTTATTTTGTGAGTAAAAATGCATTTGATCGAGCTTTTCCAACTGAAATCCAAAAATACATTTAGTGTGTTTGTAAACCCATTTGGAACATGTTGAATTAAAGTTTTTCTAGATTCTGTTAGATAAACGTAGAAGGAAACTTAAGAATGGATTGAGATTCAATTTAATTGAACTAGCTTTCAAATTGACCCTTAGTAAGGATTGTTATGAATTGGAGGATTCTGGGATAAGATTTGCATTGTTCTTTTTAAAATTGATGTAATGTTGCTAAAATTTAATTAGAATATACTAATAATGTTAAAAAAATTATATTGTTATCCAATAGATTACCATTTATGATAATTGTATTGAATTTTTTAAAAATTACTTTAAAAACTTATAATTATGATGATTTCTAATTGATTATACTAACTGTGGATAAAAAAAGTAAACATACATGTTAACCATGTCTTGTGTGGATTTAAATCCCCTTAAAGTGTTGAATGCACTTTAGTGATGAAGTGTGGAGTTCATCATTGATTCTTGTGATTGCGATAGACATTGTTAAAATTTCAAGTAGTGATTTCCTAATCAACATGTAGAATAAAGCTAGATTTGTGCCTCATGGATTGTTGAGATGGTTGTTCCTACTTTCTACAAGCAATGTTATTGAGTAACCTAAATTGATATATATGTTCTCTACATTTGCTTCGATTGTATCTTGGTCACAACCTAAATTGTTTGTTTTCATATTTTGTGTTAGAGTTGAAGGCTTTTACTTGGTACTCATCTTTCGAAACCTTTGTTTTTTTATTTCTTCTTTCAGGTACAGGGCAGTTACTAGTGCATATTATCGCGGTGCTGTTGGAGCAATGTTAGTTTATGACATGAGTAAGCGTCAATCATTTGATCACATGGTAAGGTGGTTAGAGGAACTGAGAGGCCATGCTGACAAAAACATCGTTGTAATGCTAATTGGCAACAAGTGTGATCTTGGAACTCTTAGAGCAGTGCCAACTGAAGACGCTGAGGAGTTTGCACAAAGAGAGAACCTATACTTTATGGAGACATCAGCACTTGAGTCCACTAATGTTGAAACTGCCTTTCTCACCATTCTAACTGAGATATACAGACTCAGCAGCAGGAAAACACTTACTGCTAATGATGATGCAGATTCAAATGGTAGTGCAGGGCTTCTGAAGGGAACCAAGATAATTGTTCCTAGCCATGACATGAATTCTGGTGAAAAGAAGGGTGGTTGTTGTGTATAATCCTAGATTTTGCTTCTTCTTGGAAAGCATATTGCTCCCTTTGGCTCTGCCTACATGTGGTGTTTGTAAAGAGGGTAGATACTTTTCTTGGAGTCTGTCAGGATACAAGTTTATAGAGTTTCTTTATTAAAAAATATTTTTTATTTTTAGTAGAAAAACTCTTTAAAATACTTTTAGCTTGTATCCAAACAGGATTTTGGTCATTCCATCAACAAAATGTAGGCTATATTTATTTTACACTGCTTGCTGATTGCAGGCATACAGTTTTTTTTCTTTTGTTTTGGTCCTTTCTAGCTTTAGGATTTCATTTTGTTAATACAAATATCCCGGTTGAGAAGGGATGGTTCAATTCAGATAGAGGAATGGGAACTGTATAAACTTACTGGATGCAATTATTTTTGGTCTGTAGTTTGAAACTTTTAGTGTTCATGTTGTCTTTTGAAACTGTGTCTTGGGCACTTGCATATTGTTATAGAATGCAAAATTAGCGGATCTAATCAATCGAACAATGTAAAATTATCTACAATTTCCATACATTTTATAGCTATCAGTCACTGGATTTAGGGTCCGAATACTACCAAAATTTACATAAGTGCTATTTGGTACGAAAGAGTTTTAGCACGAAAAGAAAGAATTGCAATCGTGGACCAAAACTATTTTTAAAAAAAAAATAATAATTAAAATTTTGGAAAAATATAAAACTCTATTTAACAGAAAACAAATGTTCGTGCATCTTGACATAAACTGTTTCGTACATAATATTAGCATTTTTAAAAAATTATAGTATAACAGCAAGTTTATGGCATTATAGAACTACAATAACCTATTGGAAAAATCTTGCACAAAACTCTTCTTATACTGGTAGGATTAAACGGAGGAGTAAACAAAGACTCCTCGGATCCTTTCCGAAAAACAATTAATCATATATGTAGAAAATGTGGTAAGATATAGCTCATTAAAGATAACTAGGTAATTGTTGAATCTATCGCTCAGTAATAGCGTATGAAGATAAAAATTTAGTATAAATAATAGTGTATTAAGATAAAAGAAATTTTTAAATAACATTTATTATAGCATTAATTGCATTATTTTGGTTGAGATTGATCTATTACGTGAGTGTTGGAGTGATTTTTTCAAGTACACTCCTTTTTCTTCTTGAACAGTTAAAGCCGAAAATCTCTACCCCTCTTGGATAGGTAATATCAAAGGCTTCTACTCCCATTTGTATAGGTATTATGGATGACCTTTACCCCTCTAGAGCAGGTAAGACCGAAGACAACATGATACAGGCTTACAAACTCAAAACTTGTGGAATAAAGATTAGGATAACAATAAAGAATGATAAAATTATCCTTATACCTTGTGCAATTACATTTCTTAATACAAAATATGATGGAAACTTGATACGGAAAATAGAATATTTTTTTTTTGTTATTAAATGCAAAGGTTGAGAATATAGTTACATAATACTTAATGAAATATATTTAAAAAAACATAAATACTACATGGAATATGAAAAAAAAAATTATATACATTTAAAATTTCATGCATTTTTTTTTCATAATTGATAAGGAGTTCTTAAAATCTTAAACAGTTCAAAATGACATTTGTCTTTTGTACCCTGGTAGGTAGGGATAATAATAGGTCAGATCTTAAATAGAAATTTATGGTTTGATTTCTTTAAAATTTGATCTAACCTAACTTGTTTAATAAAAAAATCAAATTTAAAATTTTAAAAAATTCTATTTAGTTAAAAAGAATGAGGTTAGGCTTATAAAAAAGTTTGTTAGGTCTAATGTCCTGTCCTGTTGTTGGCATGCTTCGGGAGCTCCTTCCCTTCATAATTTCCTTGTTTGTATGCCCCGGACGAAATTGGGTGTCTACATTCCCAAATGGCACACAGCCCCCAAATGGCTCAGCCCTTTTCAAGGGCTCAGGCCGCTCAGCCATTTCACCAAGCACCTAGCCATTCCTAACAGCTCAGCCCTTTGCTTCCTGGGAATGCTTCCCTTGCACCCGGCCCCCAAAAGGCTCAGCCGTGATGATACCTGCCCATGTCACACACCTCTCCTCTCATGGAAAATATACAGCTATAACCAATGCTAACAACTTGACCCCTGTTCACTAAAACAGTCATATCTGGAGTTCTAGACCTCCTTTTTGGGTGATTCTAACGCCATTGGAAAGCTAACATCCAAGGCTACAACTTTCATGAAAACTTAAAGACCAACATACTCACACCCGGCGCACTAATATCCCAACTGGCGCAAAACTCAACCAGAGACCTACAGAGGTCTCAGCGCCCGGCGCAATTATCCTGCGCCCGGTGCAATATCAGTAACCAAAACACAAGAACCACTTATGATAGTGCGCCCGACATGGTTCTCCCCATGCCCGACGTGATTCACCCAGGGATTCATATTTCAAAATGCGCCCGGCGCAACTAGCCTCGCGCACGGCGTGATTTGGCAATGGTGGTCCCTAATAATTCACACCCAGCGCCAAGAACTGCGTCCGACGTATTTACTACCAGAAACCCCTGAAAACCTCAAAAATTCCTTCCAATCATGAATCTAATCCAAATTACATGAGTTCGAACCATTATAAAGCATAAACAATGTCCAAAAACAACATTTTAAGCAATAAAATTGAGTATTAACCATTAATACATGGAAATCATAGGGAAACCCTACCAAAACCCTTTCCACTCAATCCAGCCTCAATCATGCCTAAAAAATGGAATCAATGTGATATTTCAAACCCATACACACCAGATTAAGTCTTATAAGTACTACCCTTACCTTAGAAACTTCAGAAATGCAAGATTTGGACAAAACCCTCAGATCTCAACTCAAACTTTAATCCCCTTTTTAAGGCTTTAGAGGCCAAATTTCTTGAAACTCCAGTTGTGAAGATTGATCCTAGCTTGATAAACTTCCCAAATGTGTCCTCAGCTTCCCTCCGGACCAGAGCCTTTCTCTCTACTTCCTCTTTCTATAAATTGTCTCTGTCTGACAAATGAGACCCTCCGGTCCTAAGTCCCTATGAGATTAACAAGGTTCTGCTATAGTTTTGGCTCCTACTTATCGAGGTAAGGGGGGAGTGAGAAACCTCGCTTGGGGATGTGGGAATAATTGTTGGGTAGTCGGATTGACCCCCAATCCCTTGCTTGATGCATGTTTCTAGGAACATGAAAAGTATGAATGTGTTATGTTTTACTTTCTGATTACTCTGTTGTGTTCCTTGTTGGAGATGATGAATGAATATGTGATTAATTTTGAAAATAGATAAATTTTAATATGAACTAAAGTGCTCTGTGAATTCCTGTGCGAACCTTATGAGGTAATAAATGAAATTCCATGATAAGTGAAATGTTGAGTTAATGAAATAGTGAATGTATGACATGCATCATATACATATATAACTCCAGGTGTGCCGCTTAGGCTGCATACCAGTGATGTAACAAGCTATATGATGAAATAACTTATTCCAGGTGTGCCGCTTAGGCCGCATACCAGTGATGAAATGATGTGATGACATGATTTATTCCAGGTGTGCCGCTTAGGCCGCATACCAGATGTACTAAGACACTTTAGGTGTACCTTAGGGTCACCAGTGATATAACCAGCTAACAAGGTGTACCTTAGGATCACCAGTGATGTAACAAGCTAACAAGGTGTACCTTAGGGTCACCAGTGATGTAACAAGCTATGTGATGAAATGACTTATTCTAGGTGTGCCGCTTAGGCTGCATACCAGTGATGTAACAAGCTATGTGATGAAATGATGAGAAATGTAAAACTTCTATATGGCGCCACATGCATGTATTTATGAGTCGAGTCCATAACATCATTGCATGATAAATGAGTGTGCATGTGAAGTTCTTCATTTTTCACTTGAAATTGATCATTCTAGTAGATTCGGTTTCTATACTTTGGAATTGTGAAATTTTTGAAATCAAAAGGCAAGTATCTTCTCCTGAAAATAAATTTGAATTCAGAAAAGCAAAAGAATTAAAAAAAAAATAAAGAAAATATAGCATGGAAAAGCCGAGAAGAGCAATTGAAAGAAAATACACCTTATTTCATAAAGTAATTGGTCTACTAGTTTGCTTTTACTTGTTTGATTTCTTCCAAAAATTTTTGGTTTTGTTAATATACTCTAGTGCCTATCTAGGAATGTTCCTAATTGTGTGCTAGCCTTCTTTGGAGTCTTAATTTTTAGCTTTAATTTTTGGCTATCTTTGAGTCTTGTCTTAAGCACCTTATTCTTCAACTTTTGGTATAAGTTTTCTAAATTGTGCATTTGTTGCTTGTCTAGTTTTCTTTGACTAAAAAATTCCGTGCTGGAAGTGGCCTTAAATCCTTGCTTAAGGACCAAACATTGACTCAACAATAGTAGGAAAGGAGTTGACACAAAAAGGACTTGAAATCTTGACCTAATTTAGTGACCGAAAATTCCTAAACCTACCTTCACAAGAGTGATCTTTCCATCTACCTTGTGAGCAGCCTACATTCATCTTTTGTTTGTGTTATTTTTGCAGGTTCCAGGAGTATCAAGGAGCAAGGATTAGTGGTGGATTGGAGCATTTACATAAGTGGAAAAAAAAACTTGGACAACAAATCCGTCACTAATTGGTCACTAAAGCCGCCACAAAATTTGTTCTAGTATAGTTTAAATTTTTGCAATTTTTTTGTAATTTCAATCAATTTGTAAAGCTTCGAGGGAGTATTAAGAAGCATTTACATCAAGATCAGAGGTCTAAACATTGACTAAATACATTATCCTTATGACTAAGTTCAACGCTTTTACTCTAGTCTAATTTATTTTTTTTGCATGTTTTTCTATTTGTACATATATATAATTTTTGAAAACCCTTTGGGTTAATGGAAAATATAATATTACAAATGAGATTAATTTACAATTTAGTGAGATTGGAGATATGTGTCAGGAAGAATATGTGTGTGTACATAGTTATTATAGAATATAAAACAACATTCTCTCTTTCTTATTGTAAGTAAAGCTAGCATGAAATGTTGAGTGTGATTGTATTTTTTATGGAGACCATCCATATGAGAGATTTACACACTATTAGACTTTTAACTAGGTCTATGATTAAGAGGGTTGAGGAGGCTTCTATAAAGAAGATGCTTGTTATACCTATGTTCTATATGCACATTGAGTATGATTCCTCTATTTAGTCTCATAGTCTCTATTGTACATATTTTGTATAGTTTGAGTTCTTTTCCCTTGTACATAGTAAATACATGTATAGGTTTATTTTTGTCTTTATATTTGTAAGGCACCTACTTTATCTTTCTTTATAGGTCATATCCTTAGGATTTTAAGGTATGTTGCTTAGAGACTTTTACTTCATTTAGCTTTGTATTAAGGGTTATAGATTTTCATATTTTTAGTTTTGGTAGTGGGGTAACAAGTAATAATTGTGTAAATGAAGGCGTTTAGTGGGTATAGGCCAAATTTTACATATTAGACTTGTT